ACTTGGCCATGCAGCTTCCAGATCTTCGGTCCAGTGATAGTTGGTGGTGATTGGAAAGCACGGGGCGCAGTGAAGTTGAATTGCCAGGTCCCACTGCGGCCCGTGGCTTTCCGCTTACTGCCCTTCAGGCCACCGCGCCCAGATGAGGCAGCGGGTGTTCTAGGATGAACTATTTCGGCTCGAACGCTGCTGATGCGCGGGCTTTCAGCACGGGGTTTGGCCGAGCGCGGGCTCTTCGGGGCCATCGGCCCGCTGGGTTCGCGCCCGATGGGAGCGCGGCTCGCCTGCAGCGTTTGGATTGCGCAGTGGCCCCGAAGCAATGCTCGCAGCGAATCGCCGGCCCCGCCCCCCCCCTCTGCTGCCGCGGCAGCCGGCGGCGCGTGTTGCAGCGGCGGCAGAGGAGGCATGGCGCGATGAGAGTTGGGCGCCAGGTGTCGGCTGGGGTCTTCGCTCAGCAGCGCGGGGCGCGCCCCAGGCGCTCGCGGCCGCTCAGATCGCCGGCGCCGTCGGCCCAGCGGGTCCCGACGCGGCGGCTTTGCAAGACCACTCATCCACTCATGCCGAGATTGGCCGACATCGGGTGCATACTTAATGGCCAAGTGGCTTGCTGTCGGCTGCAGCTGGTTGGCAGCGGCCGCAGAATTGGATCGCCCGCGTCCTTCGGTTGCGCGTTGGGACGCATGATGCGAGCACCCTGGGTCCGATTGCTGAGGAGGCGATTGCAATCAATGCGGCGCAGTATCCTGGGGGTGGAGAGAAACTCTCGGCCCGCCCAGGAGCATTGGCGCTGCCTGCGGGGCGAGCGGTGCAGGGGTGCCATTGGCGAGCAGGAGTGCCGCGATTTCCTCGGGGTCATCGGTGGCGACGCTTAGTTGGCAGGCAGAGGCGATTCACGAGACGAGCGTGGACTGTGTAGGAGGTGGCGAAGGATCGCGACGGCGGGGTGGATCGTGCATGCTGAATCAATTCACATTGGCTCACATGGTTGCTGCGCCCACAGTCGTTGACGTGGCTGGCGCTCTGTCCGCTCTTCCTCGCGATCTGTTTCGGCTTGCGGCTGCAGTTGGCGATGATCTCTGGAATGCCAGGCCACCTTTTGATGCTTGGATTCCTGCCCGCTGCGCTTTGCCCGCGGCATCGGCTTAGCAGATTCGAGCAGTGCTCGGGGCATCTCCCATCGTGGCTCCTGCAGCCCCAGAAAATGCGCCCCTGGGGCACCGCGCTCTGGTCGGCGACGCGGCGCTCGCCACCCTTGCGGGGGCGCTCGCGGCACTTCCAAGACAGCTTGCGCGGGAGGTTGCAGACTCCCACGGCCCCTCAGAGCTCGGGCGCGGCGCGCGGGCATCTACCGCGCGCGGCAAAGGTTGCGTCGACCAGCGACGCGAGAGGTTCGAGACTTTATGGGCCGACACTATTGGGGAGAAAATCGCGGACGCTCGACAGTGGATTGCGTTTGTCCGTGGGCGGCGGTGGCCGACGCTGGCGCGGAGCGCCGCTGAGCGTTGGCGGTGGCTGACTTCAGCAAGTACGACGAGCGTAGTCTTTTGCAGCGTCTACAGTTTAAGTTTGAATATTTGCAGGAAGCCAGAGCTTTCCTCAATCCCATGTGCGACATGCGGTGATCGCCTCGTCTGCTTCTGCTGGCTGGCCACTTCGCAGAGGTATCGCCTTGTGCAGAATATGCTGCCAGCAGGCGATGTCACGTGATCTGTCGGGCCCAAGTGTGGTGGTCGGTCAGAGAGTATGAAAGCATGTCGTTACGGCAGCCCGCCGCAGCCTTCCAGTCCTACATGGACGACAACTGATCTAGAGCGGAGTCGCGCATTAATGGCGCGATGGCCCATCGCGCGTCGGCTGGCGCGGGCGATTCCAGAATCACTGCTGTTTGCCTCGACGCGGCGGTTAATGATGAGCTCGCCGTTGCCAGATCCGACGTGGACATCGCCGGGCGGATCGCGAACGCGCCTGGGCGACCCGACCCGGGGGCGCGCGAGAACGCGGTCCACGTCGGAGCTGACGCGTCCGAGGTGAAGCAGAGGATGTCCACTAGAGTCTCGTCCAAGAGACGTGCCAGGCGCAAGCGTCTCATCGAGCGCACTGGGGAGATCCGCAGGCTCGGCGAGGGCGTGGCTGGTGGCAAGGCTAAGTCGGTTAGAAGTGTTATCCGAGCTGGGGCGATGCCTGAGGCGACCAGGGGCAGGCGCTGTGCAGGATGCGTGGATCCAGTTGCGCAGATCGCGTTTGCGCGGGCGCTTGCCTGCTCATGGCGGCGCCAGTTTGATTTCCAATCTTGTTTTGGAGATGCGGCTCGGCCGCAGCGCGCGCGCGCCCGCCGCGCAATTGCGCGGGGTGCCGTGGCGGGCTGAAGCGCGCCACCGCCCACTTGCTTCTCACTCCCCCAGAGGTCTTTTGTTTCAGTAGTTCTGAAACTTTTTTTTGTTTCAGTTGGTTTCAATTGTTTCAACTCGTTTCAATTAGTTTCAACTCGTTTCAATTATTTCCAATTGGTTTCAATTAGTTTCAACTAGTTTCAGTCCGTTTCAGTTTTCATGTAGTTAGCGCGTTTCGGGCTGGATCAAACATTCTATACAGTTACATGTGCCCATACATATACATATACATACATGCATATACATGCACATGTACACATACACATATACACATGCATAGAATGCGTACATCTACTCAAACATATGTGTATAACTATACGCCTACGGCCTTACACTTGTAAGGCGCGCTGACGTTGCTTATCTCTGTAGTCGAGAGAAGCACGCCCGGGCCAGATTGAGGCATTTACGATAGTGAGGAAAGTTTTAGATGACGGGGCGCGAGGAGTGCGCGAGTGAGAAGAAGCAGAGAGAGAGAGAGGCAGCAGCAGCCGTTGTGGTTCGAGGGATGATCAGAGGGGCGGGCACAGGCTTCCAGTGCCGTCTCGTAGGGAACGGAGCCGAGACAAGGATGGCCTTCTTCAACGAGAAGGACGAGGAGGCCGCTTCTTTGGGAGAAGGGCACACGAGGAGAAGGGTGACGGACAAGGAGGAGGAGGAGGAGGAGGAGGAGGAGGAGGAGGAGGAGGAGGTGGATGTGGAAAAGGGGACGGGGAAAGGGGCGGAGGAGGGAGGGAAAGCGTCGCCAGCCTCGCCCTCGTCTTAGGCCCCTGGCACTTTAATGGGCAAGAATGCTGTAGACTCATCCCTGGAACGGGCCTTCGTGGCCCCCTCTCCCTCCCTCGTCCTACTCCCCGCTGCTCGCCCCCCGCGCGCGCTCTCGAAGAGGCTGCGGAGGGCGAGAGTCTCGCAGAGGACAACGGGTCAACATATCATGAGCGTATCACCGAACCCCCCTACGGTAGTCTCATGAATCCGCTGGGGAACCTGGTCATGGGTTTGGCGTTGGGGCCCGAGTGGCAGCCCCCCAGGCACACGGGACGATAGAAACGAGAAAGGAGGACGAGGGGGATGAGGACAAACCGTGGGAGGGTGATGTTCGAACCCCAAGGGGTGGGAGGATGATGAGGCCTCGGAGGATTCGTTGGTCTGGTGGGGCGTCGATGGATGGTCCAACGCTAGCACATGGAGGGCAGATATCAGTGTACCTAGCTCTTGATCGATTTCTGTTTCTGGTGATGGCGATGCCGACGATACCGAGGTGGACGCACGAGAGCTTTAACGTAAGGGCACGCTGGGATGGAGAGAAGGAAGAAAGGACATGCTTCTCCTTCTCCTCGTGGGCACTCTTCGCGTCCTCTGTCGTCGTATTCCTTGTCGTCGTCCTCCTCCTCCTCCTCCTCGTCGTCGATGTCGTCGTCGTCGTCGTCGTCGTCGTCGTCGTCGTCGTTGTCGTCGTCGTTGTCGTCTACCTCGTGGTTATCCCCCCGTACATCTCTTCAGAGTTGGGTGGAAAACAATGCCCAATAACTGTATTCAAACGACGTTTCTTGTTCGTCGGGTGCTTTCCCCCTGAGAAAATAGCCCTGGATCCCGAGGTGGTCCCCGAGTGTCAGGCGGACCAGGCCGAGCTGGGCGCGCGTCAATCGGAGAAGGATGCGGCCGAGTCCGTGATTTCAGTGGGGAGCGGGGACGACGGCGCTGCGACGCAGACGCTTCGCGAGGATGATGCCCCCCCCGCCGCGGCCGAAGCGGCCGCGGCGCCCCCCGCGGCCGAAGCGGCTGAAGCGCCCCCGGTCACTCCCGCCGCCCCCGTCGAGCCCCACCCGGTCGCTGCCGCCGAGCAGGTATACCGTCAAAGCAAAACCGATACCACGGGGGGAGGGGGCAGAGGGGGGAGGGAGGGGAAGGCTGTGGAAGGACAGGAGGGGAGGAGTGGGAAGGGAGAGGGAGGGAAGGGAGCTGATCTGCCCCTCCTCCCCGGGCCCCCATAGGATGAGCAGCCCAAACCCATCACGGAGAACGACTTGCTGTTGGCGGGTGCCAAGAGTATCGAGAAGGAGGCCGCGCTGCCCGATGCTATTTGCTGCCCTTGCCCCGCCCCTCATCGGGTGACGAGGAAAGCGAGGCTGAGGAGAGGGTGGGAGGAGCGGTGAGTAGGAGCAGCGAGGAGGAGGAGGAGGAGGAGGAGGAGGAGGAGGAGGAGGAGGGACCAGGAGGAAGACGAGGAGAATGGAGAGCGAGGGCGAGACACTGCATACATTGCCCTTGCCAATCCCGCCTCCACCGCAACCTCCTCCTCCTCCTCATGTGCTCCTTTTCGTCCTCTTCCTCCCCCTCCTCCGCCTCCTCCCTTTTCATCTCCTTCCCTCATTCTTCCTCCCCCCCTCCGTCCCTCCCTCCCTCGCTCGCTCCATGTCCTCCTCCTCCTCCTCATTCTCCTCCTCCGCATCCTTTTCCTCCGCATCCCTCCCGCCCGCTCCCATGTCCTCCAACTTCCCATCTCCAGTTTCTCATCGCCGCAGCTGTTCTGGATCGCTTCGAGGTGGCTCCGAAGTGGTTCAGAGTGGCCCGCGGGAGAAGCTAGATGGCTACCGCCGAGAATGTCGCGAGGGCCATGATGCCGTTCGTGTCAACTGCAGTGTTCTTGAAGTACGACAAGGGTTGCGGGGTCAACCAGGAGAAAATCACGAAACACGTCGAGCTGATCAAGAGCTGCTACCAGGTCAAGGGTCGGGTCAAACCTTCGTCGCCGTCGCCGTCGCCGTCGCCGTCGTCGCCGTCGCCGTCGCCGTCGCCGTCGCCGTCGCCGTCGCCGTCGCCGTCGCCGTCGCCGTCGCCGTCGCCGTCGTCGTCGTCGTCGTCGTCGTCGTCGTCGTCGTCGTCGTCGTCGTCGTCGTCGTCGTCGTCGTCGTCGTCGAGCGCTTCGCGCCTCTAGAAAGAAAAGCAACGACCTAAGCTAGACTAGGGAAGCGGCGTCAGGGTCGAAGTGCCCGGGCGATGGGGAGGGACGAGGGGGCGGATGATCGGGAAGACACGGAAGGAGAAGGAGGAGGGACAGGGAAATAGGGGGTGAGGGCGAAGGGAGGGTGGAGGAAGTATGGAGAGGGGAGTGGAGGGACCAGAGATCAGGGAGGATGGGGAGGGAGGGGGAGGGGAGGGGAGGAAAGGGACGAAGGAGTTGTTTTTTGCATCCCCATCCCAGGCGGAGAACAGCTTAGTCATCGTGAAGGCCACCATGAAGGAGGCTCTCAAGCTCGTTGCAGCTGAGAACACGATCAAGTTCAGATCGGACGCCGAATTAGAAGATTGGGCGGAGGAGATGCAGGGCCGTGTTCGGCACATGCTCAGGCACGTGAATCAGTACAGGAAGCGTGACAGCGCGCCGAGGTGGTTCCAGAAGCTCGGCATCGACGGCGCAGGCGGCAGCAAGGCCAAGGCTGTGAAGGGTCAGAAGGCTGCGCAGCGCAAGAAGCCCAAGGTCGATGACGACGAGGAAGAAGATAAGGGGGAGGAGGATGAGGAGGAGGAAGAGGAGGAGGAAGAGGAGGAGGAGGACGAGGAGGAAGAGGTTGAGGAAGCCGAGGCTGAGGAAGAAGAGGCTGGGGAAGAAGAGGCTGAGGGAGATGGCGGTGGAGCCGTTGCGAAAAAGCCAGCAGCATCCCAGACGGCCTCGGCATGTGCGGCATCGCCCGGTAAGCCGATCGAGTACGCGTTCGGATACGACGCCGAGACGATGATTGCGTGGCGCAGGCGGCTTGGAGCGAGGAGTAGTGAGCACACCGAATGGGCCATCGAAATGACGCCAGGGAACGCAGACACGGATCCTGTCGTTGCCAAGTTCAAGGACGGGATGACGAGGCCTGTCCCAGAGACCACATCGGGCAGGTGGAAAGAGGCGGAGGAGGCAGCGGCCGCCACGGGTGGCCAGGTGAAGAAGAAGCACTCGGAGCATTGCTTCTCGGGGGTGGAGCCCGGTGGCAAGGCCGTGTGGGTCGGCATGCGGTGGAACAAGCCCAGTGGCAAGATCGCTGAGCGCTTGGCCACAGTCAAGTGGCAGGACAACCCCCAGCTGGTCCAAGTAAACATCGAGGTGTTTCGGACGACGGCCGAGCAGGAGCAAGAGGAGCTCGAGATCCTGGCGTGCAAGTGGTGCTCGTCGATGGCGAAACGCTTCTGCGATGGCAAGCTGGACAAGGCTGGGGCGCTGGCCGAGAAATCCACGCTCGTGGATGCGAGCGACTGGGGGTGGAAGGCGAGTCCCAAGGCGAAGTGTCAAGCTGGTGCGAAGGCTAAGGCAGCGCTGAAGAGGCCCGCGGCAGTATCCAAGGGCGCGGCCCTCAGTCAGGAGTCCAACGGCACGCAGGACAAGGCAGCGCTGAAGAGGCCCGCGGCAGCCGAGGTATCCGAGGAGGCCCCTGGTCAGGAGTCCGACGAGCCCAAGTCCAGCGAGAAGCATGCGATCACCAAAACACCCGTTGAGAAGGAGATCACCGACAGCGAGGACTTCGCCGCGAAGAAGCTCACGGCCGCACCTGCCACTCAGTCCCCGACAGCGCCTGCCACTCCGAAGAGGAAGATCCCTGGTCAGCACGAGCCGCCAGAGAGGAAGAAGACACAGCTATCGCCTCCACCCGTGACCTCCGACTCTGAGTAGTGGTCTGCTCGGCGCTAGGTAGAGCCACGTAGCATGGAGAGGGAAGGAGGGAGGATAGGGAAGAAGGGAAGGGCGGAGGAAGGGAGGGAGGGAGGGAGGGAGGGAAGGAGGGAGGCTGGGAGGAAGGGATCAAGCGGGAAAATCGCGAGTGCCGAGTGGATTGGCGATAAGTCAGGGTGACATGGGGAGTGGCCTGGACAGGAGAGGGGTGGGAAGAGCAGATGCAACTTTAGGGCAGTGCTGGCGATGCCAGGCAACGAGCGCAATCGCTCATCAGTGACATCGCGTGGGCCCCGCACTGCAGGGACAGAGCAGCCGCATCGACCGCCACCACCCCCTTCTCACCCTCGCCCCCTGATCCTCAACACCCCCCTCATCACTCGATTGTCCATCTCCAGATTTCCTCCGCACATTGATCTGCCACTTGGTGATGCTGGCACCGTTTCGCGTTATGGGGCATTGATTTCTCGGGGTTTAGGCCACATCGCTCCCTGGTGCGCTTGGTCTGGCGCGGGTGATCCAGTATCTTACCAGCTCTCTCGGTCCTTTCTCGTGCTCCTCCTCGCTCCGCCGCTCCGCCAGGCCGATGCCTTCCTGAGCAACTTCAGCCTCAAGAGCGAGGAGGACCAGGAGAGGATCGACACCATCAAGGAGGAGCTGCTATTTCTGCCCCTCCTTGATCTCTGCCTTTCCCTCTCACCCGTCGCCGCCTCTCCTCCGCGTCCTCCCCCTCCTCCTCCCCCTCCACCCACGTGCCCCCTCTGCTCTTCCTCCTCCTCCCCCTCCCCCTTCTCCTCCTCCTCCTCCTCCTCCTCCTCCGCTAACCCCCAACCATCAGTTTCTCGTCCTCGACACTTGCTGCCACCTCTCGTTCCCCCCGGTCGGCATGGTCGCTTTCGACGCCATTATCGCCCTGCCTCCTGCCACTCCTTCTCCTCCTCAATCTCCTCGCCCTCATCTCCCAACTGCCCCTCCTGTTCTCTCTTCAACCCTACTTTTTGTTTATATGCATCGGTTCCGTCACTTGCCGAAGGGGCCGATATCTGTCTTCGGATGTCTCGTCGACTCGCGTTGACCTCGCACAGCATCTGCGGGCCTCTCCCCCCGAAAGGATGCCGGGGCGAACATCGGGCAAACGCTCAACCCTGGATTCGAGCTGACGCTGATGAGGATGTTCCAGAACCTCACTGCAGATGGCACGCAGCAGGTCGTGGAGGACGACGAGGATGACACGGAGAAGGAGAGCGAGAAGACGCTCGCACTGGAGAGGCACCACGATGATGTCCTCGAGGCCTTGGCAGCAGAAGGTTTCGTCAAGGTGCCCTCGGATGGTCCAGTCGGAAAACGCTTTGCGCGCTGGTTGGCGCACAACGCAGATGAGCAGAACGCGCACAAGAAGTTGCGGCAGGCCGAGAAACACAAGAAGCGCCAGGAGTGGGCACAGAGCGAATGGGACGACTACAAGGACACTCGGGAAACGTTTAACCGTCTCTCCTGTTTCCTTCTCCTCCCCCATCCTCTTCTCCTCCACCCCTACCTCCTCCTCCCCTTGCTCCTCCTCCCTACAGCTACTCCCCCCCCTCTTCCTCCTCCTCCTCCTCCTCCTCCTCCTTCTCCTCCTGCTCCTCCACTTTTTGTATAACATGTGCATGTCGCCGATGGCCTCCTCAGGAGGAGCAGTCCAAGATCGAGCTGGCGTTCAGCGCGAACCAGTCCAGGGGCAAGTGGTACAACTTCGACATGCTCGTCAGTCATCAATCGGGGGGCGCAGCGTTCCCCTCGGAGGCGCGCGTCAGGGGGGCTGAGAACATCGCCAAGAAGTGCCTCGCGAGGGGCAAGAAGTTCGTCCGCATAGACAAGTGGAGCGGCAGAATCGAATTCCAAAAGTTCGATGACGAGGAGTTCAAGGGCGACGCGAACTCCTGGGCGAGGACGAAAACCGAGGCAACTAGGCCGCGATTGAACGGCGCCAGCGGCTCAGGGTCTCAGGGCGTCGCCGCCCCAGAGGCGGTGGCGCCATCCCCGAATGACAGACCGCCACAGGAGTCAACGCCCTCCCCAGTTGCGAGGCTTGGGGGCTCGGCCGAGGAGCGCCCGGGCGGGGCGCGCGGGGCGGACCGAGTGAGCGAGAGGCAGACGGCCGCAGATGACGGGGAGCCTCCGCTCAAGAAGGCCAAGGGTCAGATCAAGGGGGACCGCGGCGGGGACAAGGGCAAGAGGGGCAAGGGCAAGGGGGACAATAGCGAGGACAAGCTGGACAAGAGCAAGGGCAAGGCCAAAGGCAAGAAGGGCCAGCTCAAGGTCACAGCCAGGCCCAAGGGCAAGGCCAGGGCCAAAGTCGACAAGCCGACGTCTGCGACGACTTCTAAGTTCTTGAAGGAGGTGACGGCGAAGTTCGGCGCGACCAACATCCATGCGACCAGGCTGCTCAAGAGCATCAGCGATGGGGGGGCCGATTGGTCCTGGGCTCGCGACGACAGGTTCAAGGGCAAGCTGGAGCGCTCCTTCACTAGGCTCACCCAGCACGTCGAAGCGGACGAGATCCTGAGCTGGGCGATCTTGGAGAACTGCAGCATCAACTACGACGAGCACAGCCCGCAGAAGGTCGACGAGAAGCTCCACGAGCTCACGGACATGATCGATGTGGTCGATGCCATCTGCGTCAAGATCAGGCAGGAGGCCGAGAACGACCAGCCGTCTCAGTGACCGAGTTCCTCGGCCGGAGGGTGACTTTGGCTCGCTTTTTTTAGTTGTTCAGGCCCCCCTGCTCGACCGATCCTACCCTACCCCGCCCCCTGTCACCGCCCTGCGCACCCTGTTCTTCCCCTTGCCCATTCCCACCCGTCCTCCCAACCCTCTTCCCAACATATCATCCTTCTCCTCCTCCTCCTCCTCCTCTTCCTCCTCATCATCATCATCAGCATCAACAGCATCATCATCATCATCATCAACATCATCAGCACCATCATCATCATCAGCAGCAACATCATCATCATCATCATCATCCTATTCCTCATCCTCCTCCTCATCATCATCGTCATCGTCATCATCGTCATCATCACAATCGTAACCGTCATCGTCATCAGCATCGTCATCGTCGCCATCACCGTCGTCATCGTCATCGTCGTCATCACCATCGCCGTCATAGTCACCATGGCCACCGTCGTCACCATCATCATCATCATCAGCATCATCATCATCATCATCGTCCTCATCATCGTCATCATTATCGTCACCATCATCATCATCCTTATAATCGTCATAATCGTCATCATCGTCCTCATCATCATCATAACCAACATCATCGCCATCAGCATCATCAACAACATCACCCGCATCATCATCATCAGCAGCAACAACATCATCATTATCATTGTCGTTGTAGTCGTCATCATCATAATCATCGTCATCACCATCAGCATCGTCATCATCTTCACAATCAGCATCAGCAGCTTCAGCAACATCATCATCATCATCGTCATCACCATCATCACCATCTCCAACGTTATCATCAGAAAATGTCCACCATCTCTCCTTCCGCCCTGATCGCATCACTCCCTCGCCTCCTCTCTCTCCCCTTTCCCCTCGCGACCCTTGGCACCAGCTGGACATGCAGCGAGCGCGTGCGCCCGCCATTCTGGGGGCCAGCAGTCGGAGACTGATCATGGGATGGAGAGGGGGTTGTGGCGGCAAGGGGTTTGGAAAAGGCGAGGGTCAGCAGATGTCTGGGAGCAGGGGGCAGAAGATCAGGGGGGAATGAGGCAGTCTGCTCTCGACTAGCTGGTGAATGGTTTGTCGCCAGATCGATCAGGATCTAGGCGCCT